GAGAGAGAGAGCGCGCGCGTGAGATGGATGGGGGAGAGTGCACACGAGAGAGCGCAAGAGAGAGAGAGAGAGAGAGAGAGAGCATGGCGCCGCTTGCCCCCGTGAGGCCACGGCGTTGTTTGGGGGGGGGGCACAGGTGGCGCTGGGAGTCGCTGTGCACTGCTGATCGTGTTTGACTGGCTGTCAGCAAGCAACGCGGACCTTATGCATTTTGTAAGCATAGCTATGTAAACAGTGTCGCGTTTGGTCTCACAATCTGTCAACGCTACCTCGTCATGTGTTTTTTTTTCTGCTCGGGGAGAGCGGGTTAGGTCGGGTCGGGTCGAGAGAGCACAGTAAACAAAACAACGCGCTGCAGATTTTTCTAAAATTGGGCATCGTGTGTTCTGCTGCTGGGGCGTGGCGGGGCGTGGCGGGGGGGGGGTCAACGGTAGAGAGGTGTGAGAAGGGAGGTTCTACGTGGTCGTAGTAAAACGTGGCCGCGTGATTACAAGGTCCTTCTGGTCACGCTGTCTGAGTACACACTGATAGTACACCTGGACCCTGTCAGAGCCCGATGTGTCCCTGGATATTTTATTTTAGCTAGTTTGGTTCTGCTTATCACCGCGTTGTTATACGTATTAGATCGTGATAGTTAGAAGTGCGTGGATCTAATTCTAACTACAGAATGGCCATCGCATTGATCAAACCATGGCGTTATGACTGGGATAGACTGTTCCCCCGACTACACAGTGGTACAGCCCTCCTCCACAACCGTGTATTGTATGGGTAATCATAGTACGCTAGCTTACAGAAGGTCATACTTTGCATTAGATGGAAATATGTTGGTGTTGGTGGAACAACACTGAGCTACTAGTCGGCTGCAGACCAGTAGCCCTATGTGGAAAATCGGGAGGTCACCAGAAAACCTAATGACTATGTAGTCTCTAATAATTAGCGACTAATTATTAACTTCTAATTCTTGGGCTGTACTAACTAGTATATACCTACTATTTCTTTAATTATTAGGCTGTACTAACTAATGTCTTGTTTTTATTCCTTAATTATTAGGCTCCGCGAACTGGTCTCTAATCAGCCGATTTAGGGGCTAGCTTAGCTTCGTTCTTAGATTTCGCAGTAACATGCAATTTCGCTGGAATTTCCAAACCAACGACCTTGACTGAGGGGCATGTTTCCATCGGTTATCAGCTCCTTGGAGTCTGGCGCTGTGGTCTGTCATTGCCGATTAAAGAACGTATGTTTAACCTACCAGGTGGTCGCGTCCTACAAACTACATGCGTACATCCGCGCACGGGTCCCGCCGTGCTGTTTTTATCCGCCCTACCCCCGCTCCGCCTTTCCTGGTGCCGTACCCGTATATGGATCGATCCGACATATGGTGTGCAGTGGTAAATATTAATGACGCTTGAGTGATGATTTATGACGTGGACGCATCGTGCGTGCGTGCGTGCGTGCGTGCGTGCGTGCGTGCGTGCGTGCGTGCGTGCTTGTATGTGTGTAGGTGTGTGCGTTTGTCTGTGTGCGTGCTTGTATGCGTGTAGCTCTAGAACGATAGATAGCCCTTCGCTCTTCCTGTGGCAGAGCCTAAGAGTTATAGTTATAGACTCTAGAGCTAGTATGCGTGTAGGTGTGTGCGTGTGTCTGTGTGCGTGCGTACTTGTATGCGTGCGTGCGTGTGTGCGCGCGCGTGTATCTGGCGCGAGGCGAGACTACCGCGCGCATACGTTGTTATCACACGCTGACATTGATCTATCTTGTAGGTTACATTCGACGTGACCGGCTCCAGGGATTATGCTGACAGGCTGGCAGAGCGCACTTTGGACTTCGGTACATACGCTCACTGCACTGCTATGGTGCCTCGCTCGCTACCAGACAGGCGGTGGATATGCGTGCCCTCCCCTCCCCACGCGCCCACCGTCGCTCTTTAGCCGTGTATCTTGGCTTATAGCCCTGCTTTTACTATTCTCGGTTCGCAGGTGCATCGACACACGGCGCTACCCACCTGCTCGTCTGCCATCGCATGCTAGTCAGGTTTCCGCGTCGCATCCGAGAGACGAGGTCAGTCGGTGGAGCGCCCCATGGAGGTGGAGAATGATCAAGCTATCTAAAGAAGAACGGAGGGGAGGGCGGCATAATCAGCTAGATGGGCGGGAGTCACTGGGGTTCAAAGGTCGTGCATTAAGAGTAAACATACTATCAGGAGTACTATATATATATGTGATCAAGAGCAGATAAAGAAGGCCTTCTTTATACGCTCTTGATGTGATGATAGCACTTGGCCCACTTCTTCTTATCACAGGACACACGGCTATTTATTCAAGAGAACCAAGATCTATCATTACTTGGACAAAAAAATTATATGTTATTGTGTACATATGTGTTATATGCTTTTCCATGCCGGCGAGGGGCACATTTTTGTTATTATTAACCACCGGAGTGAATAAAAGCAAATATATCGATATCGTTTCGTTATTAGGAGTGAATAAAAGCAAAGCGTTTTTATTCACTCTTGATAACGAACCTATATCAATCAGTAGTGATCAGTGGTCGTATAATTTTGTTAAAGTAATTATATTTCCTGGTTGGATTGTGATATTGTATACTGTAACCGGGTTCCAGGGACATGGTTATCGCTGGCGAGATCTCTAACAAACCTGACGCCGGGAATGCATCAGACATTGAATCTATTACCGCTTGGTGGGGTTTTATCGGTGGGGATTCTAGTAAGCATTACTAGTGTTACTTATGGTTGTGTGGAGTTGTAGCTGGTACGACGGTAGTGGATACAGTGCAATCACTTGTTGATATGAGAAATGCCTTGAGTTTCATAATGAGATTTGTAATTAATGAAAAATAAACGCTGCTTTCGTGTGAACCTTTCTTCGACGCCATTAATCTTTTATGCGAACGTGCGAGAGAGCATCGCAGCAGTACCTACAGTCAAGCACGTCCTTCTAGCCTGTCCATCGCCTGTCCCACGCTACCTTTCTGTCTCCTCAGTTGATCCGATCGGTCAAATATGCAATTAACCTTTTTATCGTGTACGCTTCGCCGCCGATCCATTGACATGCGGGGATAAACTTGGCAATTTCCTGTTTTCTAAGCTCGCCGCTCGCGTATCTTTGATTAGCTCTGCCCGAGGAATATTGCTCCCCGGGCAGGCGGGCAGACCAAGCCAGCAGAGCGCGCGCATGATGAGTCATTATATAATGCCGACAGGCTTACGTAACGTGCCGGCAGCGCTGGCTTCCTTTCCTGGGGAAATCATAGCGATGGGCAGACACTTGACGGCGAGCGAAGACCGGCGCTGATGTAATTTCTATCGATCCTCATTACTGGGGCAGCTATCATTGATTAGCGGCTACCCCCCCTCTCTCTCTGCTTCTCTCTCTCTCTCTCTCTCTCTCTCTCTCTCTCTCTCTCTCTCT